CCAACGAAATGTAGCTTCCCTGTATCATTTCAATAAATACTTTCATGGTAGATGTTCTGAGGAACTTCCCTCTATGTTATGTAGACCTTATGAATTTAAGCACAATACTAGAAAAGTCTCATAATTTTATAGTTGAAATGGCTAGATATAAATGTAGTTCTCTGCTAACAGTTCTTTTTATTGCATGTCTTGTTTGAAGAAATTCTTTTCTGGCTTCTTGCCTTCCAGTTAACTTTGATTTTCAAAAATTTAAATGCAATGTCAATCATTATCTTCTATCTTAATTCTTGTTCTTTTTTGTCCTCTCTCCTTAACAGTATTTTTCTCATATTCTCTGACATTCAGTAACCCCTTGCGTTCTATTGGCTTTATTGCTTTGCTTGTGATAAAATAATTAAACCGTGTATATATATATATATATATATATATATACATATATATATATATATATATATATCTACACATATATACATCTCTCTTGACATATTTTGCCAATGAATCAACATCATCTAAAAATGTATTTTATTTCAACAAAATCTACATTAATGAAAAAGAACATGATTATTATTAAGCATATGAATGTTTGATTTTTATTTTACCAATTTAGAAGTTAAGCAAAGTTGAGCATGGTCTGTACTTAGATGGGTGACTGCTTGGAAATACCTTGTGCTGTAAGCTCAGATATGAAGGTGTGGTGTAAAGGATAGTGATTCAAAATTCAAATTCCAGTTGGGTTCATTACATTGACTTATACACAAATAGACTTAGGAAATGTATGAGTTCACCTCCCTTCCAGCAATGGGGCTGTCCTGGGTATGACAATAAACTCTATCCAGCAGTAAATCCTCTGATTGTGTGGTTTTGAAGAGCATGGAACCACCTTTTAATTGCTGTTGTTTCTAGGTTCACCTTCACCTGCGGTGATAACACCTGTTTGAGTCTCTGCTATGGACAAATAGTTAATCCCAAAATTAGGTCAAAATAGTATAGAAATAAATTTTTATAATAAAAATACCAGCAATACATTTAAAAAGAAATTATTAGCAGCAATATATTTAAAACAAAATATTAGATTACTGGCAGTAGATTTCTAAAAAAAAAAATATTAGCAGCAATATATTTGACTCTTGACAAAAACCCTCTTTACAAAAATACATCATTGCAAACTGATCTCTTACAAAGAATACATATTCTATTCATACAAACCTATCCTAAAAATCTTCTTGGTATTAAGGTGTTGATATGCCATAAAACAAATTAAACCAAACCCAGCTATGGGTTAAATAGTACGACTGATCTTGGAAAATTATTATTATCTTCCAAAAATTGGTTAATATAAGATTCATTCACAAAACAATGAATTATTCTTACAAATCCCAAATATGTTTCAGCTTTAAATAACCTAGAATAGGTTGATAAGCCCTAAAAAGCAAATCTTTCATCATTTTAGAAATTAAATTTTAAATCAACTCAGTTTTTATTTTTATTTATGTCATAGGTTTCTTCTTGCTTGGAATAAAATTCCCTAATTTGTTTCTTTTGCCAAACAGCGTAGCGTAAGTCAGACAATCCAACAAATGTGTCTTGTGTTCGCTACCACAGTCGCACTGCACTGTCGCCTTGTTAAGCACATTTTATTGATTGAGTAACAGGTCAAATTTGCACAGGTACAATAAAGTGTCTCATGAAAGTATCCAACTCTGAGATCAATCTTTTCTTATAAAAGCCACCATTTTCTTTTTGGGATACTTTACAGATGGGACATGTCTGAATCTGTTTTCTGGCAGGTGGTAAGCCATTTCTTAATTTATTTATTATAAGGTCTACATATCCCACATTGTTTCAGTACCAATTTATTAATAAGAGTCAATAAACTGTAAACTGCTTGTTTGTATATTAATCATGTGACTATGGTGTAATGAATTGAGGCTTCAAATGAGAAATCAGAGAGTTCAGTTTGTTACAATCTCTTACACGCAAATACCCTTGGAAAATGTATCTCTTCTTACTCCAGCTTTGGGTTAAATATCAGGACACACATTCAAGAGATGGTGACTCTATAAAATCAACCATTAGCCAGCAAGCCTGGATCAATCATGGTGATGCATCGTTTCCATGAAAATGCACACTGATAAAAGTTTCGCTGTTGTGTAAGTTGCGCTTTGATAGAATATCTTTGCATCATAACACTTTGATAATTAAATCTTTGTCTGAGGAAATCATATTAATTTTTTTTTAATTTATTAAAGCAGCATTTTTCAGGTAAAACTGAAGGTTCTGATGGCATAACTAAAAATTAAAAATAATCCCCAATGCTATAAGGAGTGTTGGAGGTATTAGCCTCCTCATATCTAATCTAATGCTTAATCTAATTCACAGAAATAATTCATCACCTCAAAAATCCACCCTATATAAAAAAAAAATAATGTTGTTTGCTGAAATGTAAAAACATGAACTTGGGGAAAGTCTAAAATTTTTAATTCTGACATAAAACAACATAGAATTTTAAAAAACTAAACAAAAAGTTGAACAAACAGACCTTGTTGGTAATGTTCATTAAATATGTAATATATTGTAATAATAATAATATTATAATAATGTAATATAAAGTTTTCTCCATCAAGACATTCATTCCTGTAGTTCATTGCTACTAACAAGCAGAAGTTTTTTTTTCTCCTGATGATGGCTATGATGGCTGAAACTAATCAAAGAATCTAATTGAAATAATAAAACGAAAAAATATTAATATACAATCCAGTGTGTCTGAAAATTTTAATTTTTTAATATTTTTTATTGTTCAAAACATATATTTATTTATTTATTCCTATTGTCCTTTTACATATATTTTTTATTTATATCTGAAATTTTACATACTCACACACACACACACACATCTGGGCACATGGCTGAGTGGTTAGAACATTTGCTTTCTGACCCTGAGACCTGGGTTCAAATCTCATCACAGCTGATTTTTCTGGAAGTAGACTTCCTGATGTTATCAGTCTGGAGGGAAGACGATCCCAGCATGCAGCACCTTTGAAAAGTGCCTGAAAACCATACCACAGGTTGACCCAAGCCTTGTAAGTGAAAGTAGGTAGATGGAACAAATGAAGAACCATCGATAGTTGTGCTAGCACAGTCACAAGTCATCGTGACCAAGGGTTTGAGTGTGCTGGCCTTGTTCAGATTGTTAATCACACTGAATAACATGCTCACTCCCAGAAAATGTAACTAAGGTCTGCTCAATATAGTTGCAGTATATACTACGGGTGAGAACTGTGGGTGTTGAACAAATATGGCTGAGCTATTATTATATATATATATATATATATATATATATATATATATAGTTGTATCCTTAAAGAATGTTACAAACAGACAATGATGGTACTTGAGTGAAAGGAACAGCAACACAGGCATAGATGAAAGAGCGGTTTATTATAGAAGAGAATACACTACTGAAAGACAGGGAATTGGTTAGCAAACTAGTAATTCCTGAAGCAAGTCTGCCAGGTATATCCTGTGCACACTCTATATATTTACTGATATAGTCAGTCCACAATAGGCAATGGGAAGAGTGGGACATTCCATTACAACATTATATATATATATATATATATATAGAGAGAGAGAAAATTTCTAAAGAATTAATGGATTTGTTTGTATTCTAACATTTTTATTAATTCAAATGTTAATGAAAATATAACCTTGCTTGCTAGTCAATCTCTCTTGTTGATCGGTGAAGCACCCTGGGTTAAATGGTGTTTTCTCCTACAGAGTGGGGTGTTGGAGAAATCATGAATGCATGCCAGATCAAATGGTGGTTTCTCCTACAAAGGGGGACAGGTTTTAACCCTGCTGGACTGTACATTTTCTTTAAGATTTCTCAGGTGTGCAGATATAATATGCACTGTTTAATATAAAAATGGGATATTTATTTCAACTATAAATATCCACAAAAATATTGTTTAAAGTTATACAGTCCATGTGAAGGTATTATGCAAAATACATAAGACTCAGTAACTCAAACTGGCTTTGAAAAACCTTTTTTAGATTTTAAACACTTAATTTAGATGTCAAAATAAAGCATGACTTACTTTTTTGGTAATTTCAACATTTTTTATTAAAATTATTGAATTTATTATAAAAACTGCAGTCTGGAGTGATTATACAAAAACAGAAAATCATTTTTACTTCAATAAGAAGGAAATAAAATCATCAACAATTTATCAGCACCTATAATAGAACAAAGAACAAGTAACAAACATATATAATAAGTCTTTAAAACATTTAGATCTTAATATAGTGACCCTTTTTCTCAGTAACAGACAGAAATCTTCTATTCACAGATTTTGTTAAATGTTTTACTTCAGCTGGTTCAATTTTGAACATAATGGTTTTGATTGCTTTCCATAGGTCTGTTTTGCTTCCATATTGTTTGCCACCTTCATATAATTTCATCTTCACAATTAACCATTAGACAGAGCATTATCATGCATAAATACACACTTAACTTTGAAACTGTGAATCTGGGACTTGTCTTGTTCATGAAATCACAATAGTTAGCACTGTTCAGTTTAACTATCATCACACTGCCACCTCCTTGCTGCCTTCTTTTAGCCACAGGCACAACTGCATCAGATAAAAGAACAAGAATATAGTGGTTGTATACACAGATTTCAATAATATCATAAAATGTTCTATACTTGTATAAAAAGCAAACCTAGAGAAGTATAAGTGTTAATTTTATCTAGCGGACAGCATAATAAGACAGAAAGAAATGATAAACATCATTCATAACCCGTAATCTGTGTTTGAATGAATGACAGGTGAACTTCCTGTCACAATTAGAATATCCAATTACACAGGATAATTAACATGCAGACAATGACTCTCTTCAAGAGAGACCATTGATGTCTGCAGATATAAATTTAACATAACATTTATCATTACTGAGTTTAAAACGATATTTATGTGTCAGACCTGCTTTATTTACATTATTAAAGAGGCAAAGATAAAGAGGAAAAGGAAGAGGGAAGTAGAGAATAAAGAAAGGAAAGAGATGAAGATAAAAAAATGAGATGAAGAATGAAGAAATAAAAGTAGAAAATGAAAGGGAGCTGAAAATATATAGAAGAAGGAATGAAGGAAAGTGCAATGAAAAGAGAAAAGAAGGAAAAAAGAAAGGAAAGAGAGAAAAAGATAGAAAAGGAAACAAAGAAGGAAGAGATAAAAGAAAACTAAGGGAGATGAAGAAAAAATAGAAGAAGGAAAAAAAAGAAAGAGACAAAGGTATAAATGGAAAGGGAGAAGGAAAAATGAAAATAAAAGAAAGGGAGATAAGAAAAGAAGGAAGAAATAAAAAAGAAAGGAAAGAGTGACAAAGATAGAAAAGAAGAGGGAGAAGGAAAAATAAAAGAAGGAAAGACAGACAAAGATAAAAAAAAAAAGGGGAAGGAAAAAAATGAAGAAAGGAAAGATAGATTAAGATGAAAAAGGAAAAAATTAAAAAAAAAGAAAGGAAAGATAAAGATTGAAAAGGAGATGGGGGGAAAAAGAAAAATAACAAAAAAGAACGGAAAGAGAGATAAAAAAGGAGAGGAAGAAGGAAACTGAGACAAAGAGAGAAAAGAAGAAGAATTAATAAATTGTGAAAACTGATAGATAATTGTTGAAATACCAAAGCTAGTACTGGTCCATTGTCACCATTCAAGCTGCAGATTTTCTCCAGGCATGATAAACAGTGGCAATGTCAATGAGGCTCCATGTTTCAAACAACTATTGCATCTCAGATTCATTCCAGACCTCATGGAGCACACATATATACAATCCATTGTTAAAGAATCTGGAAAAACAATCAGCTTGTTCTATCACTCCAATAAGTATTTGACTCTTTGCCATGCTTTATTGTCAGATTAGACCAAAAATGGAATATCGCTACCAGTTGGATCTGGTCAAACCTTATTTCTTAACCTTGACAAAATTGTTTACGTGGTCTTGTGAAGGAAGGTATATTAGCCACTTTACAACTTCATTCTCACAAGCACAATGTTGCAAGTAGATCACTATTAATATGACAACTGTTCCAGGTGAGAACCACTCTTTAGTTCAACTAGTTCAGGACTTTACAGCTAGTACATACCATACTAATTCCATGGTGTCAAACCACCCTCATTTCTTATGTTTCAAATATAAAAAAGTTCCACTCATGTTTTTTCGCCAAGAATAATAAAATATATAAAATAGCAAGAAATGTGGAATGGTTCTATTTCCCAAGAACTTTTGTTACTTTAGGGAACAGACTCCTGCATGGATACTTGCCTGAATATTTCAGTCTTAACCTCTCCAAATCAAGCATGATTTTCATCTATCCTCTTTGTCTTCATAATTTTCACTTCCTACCATTTTCCTCTCTCTATTCATGTCATATACCTCATCACTATCATTAAAATTGTAATCCAAAAGGACTCTTGTTGTGTTAGGTGAATTTTAATATATAAAAATCCTGTCAACATTTGTCAAAAAAATAATCTTAAAAGAAATCTTTTGGTTCACCCAAAAAAAAACAAAAAAAAAAAAACCCAAATGTAAGTCTATCTGATTGAAATATTTATTTCTTTTCTTTTCTACTTGAAATCCCATATCTAATTTTAAAATGTTCTTTGCCTGCTTTTAGCTTTTAAGTTCAGGTGATGTATCTAATTTAAAAATTATTGTAATTTTGAATTTTGTTTTTAATTTATGCACATATATATATATATATATATATATATATATATATATACACACACACACACACACACAGTGGGAGGAGAGAAATATTCATACACATAGAAATTTTTAATTTCTTGTATTTCCAACTAATGAATAAACATATGTTTTATATAATCAACTGTACACAGATGCATAACTAAATATGCAGAGAAAACAAAAAAAAATTGATTTGAGAGAAATAAATCTCATTTATTCATTTTAATGGGTGAAAAAAGTATTTGTACAGTACAAAAAAAGAATACACAATCTTCGTTTAATATTTGTAGAATAACCATTATTCACTTCTACAACAACCAACCTCTTCTTGTAGTTCTCAATGATTTGAAAATTTTAGTTGGTATTTTGTTCCATTCTTCTTTGCATATGTTCTTCAGATCTGGGTTGCTAGTTAGAGCTCTCAACTGGATCTGAATTTTCAAGTGACACCACAAATTCCTGATTGGGTTTAAATCTGGGAACTGACTTGGCCATTTCAGGATATTTACATTATTTTCAGCAAACCATTTCTTCATAGATTTTGCAGTGTGCTTACGATCATTATCTTGTTGGAAGGTCCAATCAGAAGGAAATCAACTGATATCATTAAATTTGCTTCCCAAATATTTTGATATGCTGCATCATTCATTCTACCATCTATTACTGATATGTTACCAGTACCTTTTGCAGAAAAAACATCCCCAAACCATGCCTTTGCTACCACCAAATTTCACTCTCGGAAGTGTGTTCATTTATTTGTAGACATTGCCATCTTTCCTCCATACCTGATTTCTAGAATTATGTCCAAACAGTTAAGTTTTGGTTTTGTCTGTCTATAATACTCTTTCCCAATATGATTTTTCCTTATTCTTATGTTCATGAACAAATTTCAAACTAGTATCTCTGTGTCTTTTCAATAGCAGTGAAGTTTTCCAAGGGGAGAATGACTTTAAACTGTTCCTATCACTTTCATTGTTCATTTCCTGGTGAAAGCAAATCATCCTGCAACTCTTGACAAGTAACCATTGAATTTTGTTTAATTTGGTGCATTAATTTCCTCAAAGATCTTGAAGAAATCTTCTGTGGAGAACCTGTTCTTTGGTTTTCAACAGTTTTCAGTATTTTTATATGTTGTAATGAATGAACTAATGGTGTTAAATGGAATATTCAGGTTTTCTGAGGTTTTCCTGTAACTTTTACCTTCTTTCCAGATCTTAACAGTCAGTATGTTTTGCAAATTTATCAATTCTTTACTGCTTGCTTTGATGATAATACATGAATATAAATTACAGAATGTCTTTTTTTTATATTTTGGGCTAAAAAAACTGATAACATTATTGGGACATTCTAGAATATTCCACTTGAATAATCTAGAGTATTAAAGCAATTTAAAAGTTTTAAAATCTGAAATTTGCATTGTACAAATACTTTTTCACCAATTAAAATGGATAAATGGGATTTATTTCTATTAAATCGTTTTTTTCTGTTTTCTATGCATGCATCTGTGTACAATTATATGAAAAGTATTGAAACTGCAGGAAAAAATCTGCCTCGTCAAAAAGATACATGATCGCCTAAGCATGTATCATGCATGGCACATAACTGACTGATGTTTATTCATTAGTTGGAAATATGATAAATTAAAAATTTGTATGTGTACATATATTTGTTCCCACCCCCCGTCACACTGTATATGTAATTATATTTGACAAATGGAAAACATTTCATTGAAACTAGATTTGATTATGCATTTCACCTTTCTAACCTTCATCAGATCCATAAACGAAAGAAAGAAATGTGTGTGTGTATGTGTATTTGTGTGTATACTTAAATAATGATTCATAATACTTTTTCCCTAAGCTGACATTTCTCATTATTAATGAAGAAAGAAAATGAATGACTTAAAAAAACAAAAAAAAAAAACGTTAATATTTATTCTGTATCTTTTCTTTATAATTCTTAATTCATATCAAAAGTTGTTAATATATTTTTCCCAGCTTTTTTGTATAGAATTAAAGGCAAATCCTCATCTCATTATCAGAATGGCTCGAAAGCAAAACATTCATATCACCTTTTCTGAAATGAATCCTTGGCAAATCCTTATCCAATAATTCAAAATGGCTTAGGGAAAAAGTACTAATAATTCATTATTTAAGCATGTACACAAATACAGATACACACATTTTGTTTTTCTTTCTTTCGTTTTTGGATCTGATGAACCCTACAAAGGCGAAACGCACAATTAAATCTAATTTCACTAAAATGTTTTCCATTTGTCAAATTTTTTAAAAACTTTGTTGGGATTCTGTATTCAATATACATATATATATAATTGTAATATTTGATTATTAGAATTATTGTTTATAGTATAATTCCTTCTTTCTCCAGAAGCTGTATTTAATGAAATTTGCTATTCTAACTGGTCATTCTTGGACAATATATATATATATATATATATATTATTAGAAAGAGAGTTCAAATTTTGTTTAAACAGTTGAACTCGTCTTCTCTGTTCTTGATGTTATTAATGCATTGGCCAAGCCTTTGCCTTCATAAATTTAGATTGGTTGTATATAAAAAAAGCCATAGCCAAAGATAGGATTGGAAAATCTGGTTAGGCAGGCCAGTTTTTAGATGAGCTTGATAACTGACAGGGAGCCTTACTGGAAAGTTCAAAACTTCAAAGATGCAGCAAATATCAGCTTTTTGGTCAGGTGCATAGTTCAAACTCTTAGGGATTTAAACACTGCATATTTTTTTTATTTTTTATTTAGTATAGTAGGTGTTTAGAAATTCTCCTCACTCCAATATATAAATTAGAATCACCTTTTTAGATAGGTCAGGTGCAAACTCAAGCCACTATAGATTTGAACACTCCACAGTATTTTGAGGATTTTTTTTGTCTTTTCTCCTTTATATAGATTGGAATCACCTTGTTACATAGGCAGGAGTATGGTTTTGCCTGTGTACCATGCATGGTTGAAAGTTGTACCCAAAATTTTATCTGGGCTTTGTTCAATGTACCATCATCGAAAGCCTTCATAATTATTTGAATCAGATCTGGGAAGAAAATGTCTATGTTTAAAATAAAATTTGATGTCTATTCACTGTGAATGTTGTGGTCACACAGCACACAAACTCAGTAACATCTCACGGTCACATAATAATGCCATTTCAGTTTGAGGCAATATGTTCCCATTTGGTTGGGTGTCAACTTATATCAAGGTAGCACAACTGGTTCTTGATAGATTGAAAATGGTTGAATCATTTCTGGACATACCTTGTATACTTTCTAAAGGTGATACTTTGATTAGTGAAGGTCAAGATGGAGATGTAAGATGTGGAAGCAAGTAAGATGAATCTCATATAAAATCTGATTTACAAATCACCTTAATTAAATTCTCTCATCGAATGATTCATTCAAGAGGGATTTTGCTTTTTCTGCAATTAACTAGTTGGGTGTTTTTCTTAGGTTGTCGGGAAGGGGAACATGTTTTCAGTTCATAAGCATCTGGGTGAAACACCATTTTAGACTTTATTTGCTTAATTATTTGATAAGCTAGGTGATTTTTAATATTGTTCTTGTAATGAATGTGTGCATTTGCTAACTAAAAGAGAAAAGCATTCTTGACATATTGATAGCTTTATGAGTCATGTATACGTTATCTTTGTTTACTGTAAATTCTCTTTATAGTAGAGGGCAGCATCTCTGAATTCAATAGTGATTCAGTTATGTTTTTAATATTGAGATAGAGTTGCCAGTTATCTGCTTCTCCCTTCTCCTTTACTTGAGTTTAGGATTACTCATCTTTTTTGTCATGTTCACAGAGTCAAATAACCCACATTTCCTCTATATTCCAGTTGTAAGGAGGAAGTTCAACATATTCTAATCCTAGTCAAAGGACCAACAAGCAACATTTTGATCTGAGACAAAGTGTAATCTGATCCTAATTAAAGGGACAGAATTCAAGAGTTTGATCTGAGGGAAAGAGCATGCTTATTCTGATTTCAGACAGAGGGTCAACAAGAAACAGTTTGATCTCAGGCAAAGTGCACACACATTCTGATTGTAATCAGAGGGACAGCATTCAAGAGTATAATCTGAGGCAAAGTGCAAGCATATTCTGATCCTAATTAAAGGGACAGAATTCAAAAGTTTAATCTGAGGGAAAGAGCATGCATATTCTGATCTTAGTCAGAGGGTCAGCAAGAAACAGTTTGATCTGAAGCAAAGTGTACACATATTCTGATCCTAGTCTGTCTATAAAGATGTAAAGAATCCCATCATTTTTAACGGGTAGTATTCTCATGAATAAATGACAGCCTCCTCCTGTAATTCCATGGCTCTGCTAAATTGGGCTACCTTTTATTTTATTTTGTATAAACTGGCTTAAACAATTTCTCCTTCCTGGAATTAATGGGCAATTCAGCGATATTATCATTTGGATTTTCTTTCAAATGATTTTCCTATCAATTTTATGCCTGTTCTCTTTAAAATCATCGTTTTATCTCAGTTCACATTCTCTGTGGTTTTTTTTCTGTAATAAACAAATATAAATATTTATTTCTTCCTAAAAGAGCCATATGAATCACTTTTAACTGTACAGTAAAGAAAAAAAACATTTTAGCAGTGCAACTCAAAGAAACAAACAGAAAAATTGGCAAACATAATGATGCTTTCTTGCTTGTTATCAAATATTGATTTCTTCCAACTGTATTTGAAATTACTTTCATCTTACTTTACTTTGATAAAAATTATATATGTATGGATGTGCAGGTAGTGTATTGGTTATTAGTTATTATCATGCAAAGTGGGATCAGAATGCCAAGTTCAAATTCTGGCCAAAATTGTTTCCTTGACTTTGACATATTCTTAAGAAAGGTATGAATCCCCTTTTTCTCCTCTCCCCATATGGGCTAAATAGCAGAGCAGACTAGGCTCTCTAGTCTTGATTGGCACCCAAGCAATTTCGAATTCAAAATCTGTGAATTTGCCATAACTTGTGCACCAGCCTACTCAACAGTGTGGCAATATTTAATGACTAAAACAGCAGTATGGTGTGATCAATGGATCTAAATTGGCACCTGAGTCTGGTGATGTGTGCATGCAATATATATACACACACACACACACACACACACACACACACACACACATTATAGTTCAAAAGTTTGAAGCCTTCCCCTGAATTAGCATGGGATGAAGTTGACAGAAGAGGGAAAAAAATGAAAAGAACTCTTAGAGTCATTTAAAAAAGAATGGAATCAATTATCAAACTTATAATTTCAGAAACTTTTGCAACAAATGCCAAAAATTTGTTCAGTAGTAATGATGGCTAAAAGGAGATATTTTGACAAGAGCAAAATTATAAAATGCTTTTTTATTTTTGTCACAATAAATTTCTAATAAAAAAAAAATGTCTCACTTTTTTTTTAACCATGTATAATATTTTTCTCTTATTTAAAGTACAAAACAACTAATTTGGGGGAATTTCAAAAGTAACCAGGGTTGCCTCAAAGTTTTGATCTGTAGTGTTTATATATACACAAAAACATGTGTGTGTGTTAGTTTTTCATTTTTATTGTAAGTTATTTTTTATGCATATGCTACAATAGATTTTATTATTCAAGTCAGCATTTTCCTAATAAAATTGATATTAAAATTTTCAGTATATCATTATATATAACACGTGAATTTAAGCTTACACCCTCTGTCCATATAAAAAAAATATTGATAATAACGTGTTTTGCATGTAATATAATTTATTAGCAAGACCAAGTGCAGAAATCCTTTTTATCTGTCAATAAATTAGAACAATAAATTTTATACCAGCATCCATTTTAGGGGCACATTATCCTAAGTTCCTAAATATATTATTTTACTCATTAAAATGGGCTTCTTCACATTCTATACCCTTCATCAATCTTTCAATATTTGATTTTTCTTCCGTTTCAACTTTTACATTACTTCAAGTAAATGTTATTACTTTCCAGAATCTTTGCTTGAATATTAATTTCCATTTACACATTCAGCTCTTCTTAAGAATGGACTACAGGTTTTCTATTAGAGGGATATCTGGAACAACTGGGAGACTTTTTCGTAGCAGAAGCAAAATGCAGACAGAGCTATTGATAATGGTACCCACTCCCATTGGTCAAAGAGATGAAGTTTAGTGTGCTGTCCCTGCAGAAAGAAAGCAAATGGTTGCCTTACTGGAATAAAGCTGGTGTGAACAATGAGACATCTGGTTATGAAAAAAGAAAGTGTCTACTAGCTTCCTCATGAAATATTTGGGACAGCTAAGCAGTGCTAGTTATGTAAATGATTCCTTTTGTTCGCCAGTTGCTAAAGTTTTAGGCTCCGTAAAAGTAGGCACTTTTTCCAGAAAGAGGGAGTCTGGAAGTGTGCCATGCAGATCATATGACATGACTGCATTCATTACCAAGGCTTTCTATCGGTGTTACCTAGCATCATTTCAAATTCATTCATCCTTGTTTGTGTTGCCAGTGTTTTGGCTGTGTTTATCATGTAGGTGTGGCATTCCCATGTGCAAGTCATGTTCATGTCCTCCTTTAGCCATCCTGGGTATGACAATAAACTACATCCGTGTCCAGGTAAGACAATAAACTATGTTGAACAGCAAGACCTCTGATCAGGAGGTTTTGAGGAGCATGGAACCACCTCTTAATTGCTGGTGTTCCCAGGTCCACCCTGAGTGGGGGGTGGTAGCACCTGTTAGGATCCCAGCTATGGGTAAATAGCTAACCCCAAAACTGAAGTAGAGAGCATTATAAAATAAAAGTGTAAAAATAGGTTTTAACACTAGAAATACTTTGTAAAAAATTATTACCAGCAATACATTTTTTAAAATAATATTACCAGAAATAGATTTTTGACAAAATAAAATATTACCAGGAAAAAAAGTTGTCAGCATTAAATAACCCATTGAGGTTGATATGCCATCAAACCAAACCAAACCAAACCAAACCAAACCATCGCTATGAATCTATTTCAAAATTTTGTTGGCATTAAATAACCCACTGAGGTTGATATGGCATAAAACAAAACAAACAACCAACCAATTCTCCTTTTGTGTTTGATTCTGGTGCTGCTGATTTTTCTGTTCCTCTTCATTGGCAAATGAATAAGAAGAAAATTCATCAATTTTATTAATTTACTTTCTTTGAAACAGTTTTTTGGGAGTGTGGACAATAGTCAGCTTTGAGAAATGTGAAAGAACTATGTCTTGCAGGAATAAACACTGTAGCTCAAAACTACTTGGTTATGACTTATATCACTGAAAAAATGTCTTGTCCAAGAACTTAAAATAATTCTCTACTTTAATCTTGATACCAATTTGTTATATAGGAATAAAGTGTTGCTACTGATACTGGAGTTTGAACACAGGCAATCCCATTTTAAATAAGTAGATCACATGATGGTAAAGGAAATGTATATATGGGAATTAACATGGCGTCTAAGTGATCACTATATGGATTACTATTCAGATTACTCAGGTTACTTTTCGAGCAAGTATTATGAAGCAAGTATATTAGAGCAAGTGCTATTCAAAGGTGTCTGACACCAGTATTGTTCAACAGCATACTATAGTTGTATCTGCAATTACAAAGTCTCTACTACAATGAGCATTATGAAAGTGACAATGGGTGTTCATTGACATGATAAAATAATTTCAACTTTGAAGGGCTCTGTAATTTTACTGCCTACATTACTAGTCTAAAACATTGCTCTGAACCCTCAGCCTCAATTTTCTCTCTTATGTTGCTTAACTATTCCATGAAGGAGTGTTGGGTCAAATCTTAACTAAGAATGACTGCAAAATACTTTCCCCTCACACGATTTATAGACAGAAGCACACAAATGCATGCTGGGATTTCTTCCTAGCCAATAAATTAGGCCAGTATGACTCAGTCTTTGTCTGTCTTGTCTTGAAGTCAGAACACTACTGTAGTTAAGTTAGCTTGTAAGTGGTCTGACACACAAGTAGAACTTATCTGAAATTGTTCTTGTGTGTCAACCCCAATTTTTAGTTTGTGAACTTTTTGCCATATTGCTGTTGCTTTGCATTATTACTGTTAATTTGTCTTGCATATATTGTTTGCTTGCTTTATATTATTTTTTGCCTTGTTCTTTTCTTTTTCTTGTTATTACTTATTTCAAACTTTGTCAATTCTGTT